CGTCCTCGGTAGGTTGCATGGCAGCGTTCATTTCCTCGATCTGCTGGGCCAAGCGTTCGACTTCGGCCCCCAGACGATCCCTGTATGCCCGAAGAAGCTCCCCCTCCTCGGCCAACTTCCCCGACTTCTCCTTCTCCAGGGTCAACATCTCCCTCTCAGCATCGAGCATCGTCGTCTGCTCGCGGAACATCTCCTCGGAGCGTTCCAGAGCGATCTTCAATTTCCGCGAGCTCGAGGTCAGGGCCGCCTTCTCCTGCTCGAGTTCTTTGACACGGGCAGAATCCCCTCCTTCCTCGGATAGCACCAAAGCCATCTCGGCCATTTTTACCAGCCCGTCCATACTGGCGGCCAGATGCGCCTTCCGCTCCTCTTTACTCATCTTTTTTATAGCTGCAGCCTCGTCGGCAACCACTGTCAGAGGGAACCTCTCGAAGAATCCCGCCTCTTCGAAGCAAGGGGGGAAGGCGAAAGATTTAACAGCACTAGCGTCCTCGCCAACAGTTGGACCACTTTCCACGTGGGTCCTCTTCCTCTGTATCAGGACGGCACTAGGGTCGACCTCTTCAACTTCTGGGGTCCCATCCGACGTGGCCCCCGAGCTTGACGGCGAGTCCACCCTCACCGGCTGAGGAGCACTTGGACTATGTGGTGGACCCATCCTCGTCGCCTGTGGGGCCTTCACGACCCTCCTGCCTCGCTTCTGGTCGCAAGATAATTTCAAAAGCCTTTCATGACGACCAGCCATCGAACCTGCACAAAATAAAAGTTGGGTCAGTGTCGAGCAAACTCGTAGATAAATGACGAGCAAAGAAATTCAAGCAATAAACAACCTAACAGACGGGCAGTCTGCCTGTACGTCGGGCATTCCACGAGCGCCTTGGTATCAATCGGACGGGACTCGAACGTTGGGTAACCATCTTTGTCCAAGATATCATCCCCTTCCCGCGTAACCCACCGGGCAGGATGGAAGCTATCGACAAACCGGCAAAGTACGGCATACGCCTCCTCGTCTTCTGAGCACATGTCCCCGGCAGCGGTATGGTAATAACCAGTCCCATGCTCGTAATGCCGGAACATCCAGTGCACAGGGACTTTAGCCGTACGGGCCAACACAGGGTTCCCATCGTCGCCCAAAACCGCCTCCCCATCCTCATCGCTCAGCGGCTCCTCCTCCTCGAAAAGAGAACTTAAAGCAGAGGTGGTAACTGGCCGCACCACGTACCACTTGTCTTTAAAACCCCTCACGGAGTCCATATACATTTTGAAGAGTCTCCTCGACTGCTTCAGGGAGACCCAGCTATGTTTCCCTCCTCGGGACTGGCGCTGCAGGTGAAAAATCCGGAAGAAGAGCGGTATGGTCGCCCCGATCCTCAGGTAGCGACACGTCAACTCAAACGCCCGGATGAAGGCGAGAGAGTTTGGATGTAGCTGGGACGGGGCCAGCTCCAGGTGAGTGAAGACCCCGACCTGGAAATCAGTGAAGGGCAGCCGCAGCCCTAGATCTTTGAACGCGATCTCATACATCGCGAAGCTATATTCCGGATAAACTGAGCAGATCCTTGCACGGGATGACGGGCGCATGACTACGAAGTTCTTTTGGAAGTCGGGCTGACCCTGGCCCGCTTCAATGACAGCATACGGATCCCGGTCGCCCCGACTGTAGACCGACGCGATCCCTCGGGGCTCGACGCCCACCCAATCCAACAAAGGGTCGGTCACAGTATCAATCAGATTGACCGACTCGTCGGCGCTTTGTTCTTCACGATCGTGATGCCCGGAGGAGCTCGGCTCGTCCGCCATGGTTACCTGCAGACCACGGAAAACCAGTCAATTGGGCACGAAGCCATACGCTCGACAAATCACGTCGTCCCATTCACGACCACATAGTCCGTTTCCACGAATGGTTGCCTCCCCGACATTCTGAAACTCGGTGTTCTTCCTCAAACCAACTACGCGCTCACCCTCCAACATGTCGACCCAAGGTATGAACATGGCGAGCCACACCAGGAGGCCCACGGCCAAGACCATGAACATACCGGGCGCGATCATGAATCAGGCGCCCTGGATCATGAAGACCCCGAGCAGCGCTGAAGTTCATCACCTAAAACTATGAATACGCCGACCACAAACATGCATTTGCCAGTCCTAGGCATGAATATGTCGGGCTAAGTATGAGTTTACCGGGCTAATCCCACGCGCACAGCCCTAAAACATCTACAAACGCCAAAAAACATGCATTCTAACAGGAAAATGAAGAGGATAGACCACTTACTTGAATCAAAGAGTAGGATTTGGCTATGGAGTAGAAGAATCTATGACAGAAAGTCGCAACTGGAAAAAATCTGGAAGAGCAGCAGTAGAGAGAGCACAGAGTGTAGAAACGTGTTATGGGGCCCAAGGTTCCTATTTATAGTGATGACGTGGAATACCAAACGTCACCTCGGGCAAACACAGACTCCCTCTCCTCGACGCGCTGCTCCCAACGCAATGATGACCCTATCCCCATAGGGTGGCGGCACAGTTCCCAAAAGATACCTCGTATGCTCGACAGACGCGCCCGGTAAGGATCCTCCAGGCATCCACCGCGGAAGATGTCTCCGAGCACGACACGAGGAGGCCTCGAGGGCCCGCACCGTTGTCCCGGGCACGAGACCTCGATGAGGAAGCGACCTGAGTTCAAGTCATGGCTCCTCACAAAGGAACCACGACTTGGGGGGCTCCTGTTCTGGACTGGGCCCGACAGGCCCAAAAGCATTGCAAAGGCCCAGTCCAAATGGACTTACAGGGGCCTCACCGACCAAAGAGTGAGACCGTGCCCGACGCGCAGCCACTGGCTCGACGATACACCTCCAGCTCGACATAAGGTGGTCCAACACCACATTCTGAGGTCCAGCTCGACGTTACCTCGAGCACCCCAGCTAGGGCAGACTCAATCCACTGTTCCCCAACGATACTCCGGAAAGACCGCGTCTCCGTCCGCCCGCACTTCACGCAGAACATCCAGGGAGGGGACCACGTGCGGGTCCCCACTACGCACGTAGAACCTGGCAGTTCCTCCATTGGGCCAAACCTGCCCGACCCAATGAAGGAACCTTGGCCCAGCGCTGGGGGCTATAAATACCCTCTGCTTCCAGAGGGTCAGGTATTGATCATTCTAACCTTAAACTTGCCATTATCTGCTCGTACTCCTACTTACTTCAGCATCGGAGTGCCTTGCAGGTACCCCCCACCTCGTTCAAAAAAGCTTTCTGCTCGGAGCCAGCCGTGACGGTCCATTTCTGATCAGGTCAGATCAGGTATCCATGCATATTCAATGGAAAAAGGATTTATAGTGTTTTATTAAAACACCAAACACATATAGTAAAAGCAAAGCACCCTAATAGGAGTAGTTTTTATGATGTAATTAAAAGCTTAATTCTTTATGTAAATAAATTTAATGCAAATAACAAAATTCATTCACAAGCTTAATTTCTTCAACAATGTTTCTTACACATGTAGCTTCATGATCAGGTTTACTATGCTTCAAAGTAATTGAATGTCTCCCCTTAATATGTAACTGATAAGAATAACACAAGGATAAGTGATATTCTAAGACAAAAATAAAGGGAGTACATGAAATGGTACTCTCCAATGTTTAAATGTAGAAAATTAAATTCATAAGAAAAGTTAAATCTTACTATTCCAAACCACTTAAGACTAGTCTTGGAACAAGCATAAACAAAAATATATATTAACTTCACAAACTAAAACATATTATATTTTGAAGTATCACAAGAAATGAATTAGGACAACTATGATAATTGGTTTATAATTACACATTGATCTTTCTATTATTATTTTATAATTTTTGTAACGGTTAAAGTCCTGTATCGACTGAAAAAATAGTTAGATTAGTCCTTATAAGGCTTGACCTTTTCACCCTTAATTTCTCACAAGTTCAAAGATTTTAAAACAAACACAAAACAAGATCTATGGTAGAGAAAAATCACTCAAAATTCAAAGTTCATAAACTCAAAACAAAAATCAAGATTTTCCTAGATTATCAAAACTAAAATTGAAACAAGAAAAGAAAGATTTAAAAATAAGAAAGAAGGATTTAACGTAAAGAACAAGTGAATAAGTGAAAAACAACTCAAATTTACAAAAACTCAATTAAAAAAATAACAAAAACCTTGTACTTCTTATCCTAAAGAACCTTCTTTATCACCACCATATCTGAAAAATCAACAATCAATTAGCAAAACTCAATTATTATTTTAGATTCAGATCTACAAATCTACTAAACTTGATAAGAAAAACGCTTGATAAGAAAACAAAAAGAAAAAGAAAATATAAAAATATTTATTGTAGAACATCCACAATCAGCAGGAGGAAGATAAAGAACAAGAGAAAGATGAAGAACAATAAAAAAGAGAAAGAAGGTGATGGAGCCACTAGGGTTTTTCTAATTGAATCCAAATTAAAAATAATTTGAATAATAAAAATAAAAATAAAAATAAATTAAATAATAAATCTAAAAAACTTATGTCACATTCCAGCTAAGCAAAATGTAATGCTTTTTGACAAAAATTATCGGAAGAAACTATTTTTTGTAATGAAATATTAATTCAAGGATTAATTTGTAACGTATTTTAGTTAAAAGACCAAAACAAAATATTTAATAAAGTTAAGGAAAAAAATATTAAACCTTAATTTAATTATGCAAAATATTTTTATATTTAATTTGATGTTTATTAAATAAATTAAAAAAAATTAATTAATACCCGCACCGGTGTTTAACTTTAAAAAAAAACTACATGAATTTGTTGAAATGACACGTAGACAAACGTCCATTTAAATGATTTAACCCACACATTTAATTATGAAATGTGAAATGATAGTGGCAGTGAAGTAATTTGGTCTTCCGCCACATCGGTCATCTCTCTCGCGTGCTGTTCGGACCTTCTCTACTCCGTGCTCCGCCTTGGATCCATCCGTTAAACAAACACGAAACGGTTCAAATGTCATCAATTTCATGCACAAACCTTGCACTATTCACCATTGCTGCACTTCTACTCCAGTTCATCGGTCTCTATCTTTTCGTCTTCAGTTTCTTCCCTGTCAAACCACTTCTCTCCGGCTACAGGTAACACTTCACCTTCCGATATTCATCTATAACACTTCAGTTCTCTCTCACGCGCGTTTATTTGATTTTTGTTTCGTTCTCAGTCACTCTGAGAGTTTCCGACGCCCAACCTGTGATGGCGTTGTTAATGCAAATCCGGACGAAGCGTCTCTGCCTCCAGATCGAATTCGGGATTTGTATCAGGTTGTGCTTCCGAATTGCTAACTCCATTGGTTGTTTTCTGATCGTTGATAGAATTTTGCGGTTTTTTAAACATATATAAATATCTCTCTTCTACATTTTATATGATTGGATATTGTAAAACTAATTGAGCCAAGTGGAATGGAGTGGAAAGGCGCATATCTGAATAAAGATAAAGATGTTATTCCGGTGTTTGAGATTTTAGGATGAAATATAACAATTTTATCGGTCCGCCCAGATCGACAGTACAAAAAAATGAAGGAAAGTAATAGAATGGATTGAAATGCATTCCATCACATTTCGCTCCATTGCGTCTTATTTTAATTAATCCAAACAGTAGAACATTTACCATCCCATCTCATTACTTAGCTATGTTTGGATTGATGGAATGAGATAAAATGATATAAATTTATGTTTCATTGTTTGGATTGATTAAAAAAAGATGGAGTGGGGCGGAACGTGATGAAATGCACTCCATCTCATTCCATTACTTTCCATCATTTTTTGTACCTTTCGATTTAGACGGAATGACAAAATTGTTCTATTCCGTCATGAAATATCCAAACAATGGAATGACATCTTTATTCCATTCTACTCCGTTCTGCTCTATTCCACTTCACTCAATTATTTTTACGTTCATTTTACAATATCCAAACATCGTCTTAGTCTCTGAACTATATAAATATAATTTTTAGTCCTTAAAGTATATGAAATATATAATCAGTATTTTGTCTATTAAAATGTTAACTACTAAATTGAAAGATTTCATATAACTTAGGAACTATTTAGTACATTTATATAGTTTAGGAACCAAATTGATGGATTATTCATTGCTTATTAATGATTGAAGATAGACTAGACTGGATAATGGGGTTGTTTGTTGTAGTTGTAGTTGGAACATGGACTTTATTTGAAAATGTAAAACAAATGTGTACTCTATGATAAGTTATGAAGTATCTACACAGCATGACACTAATATACATGCACCGGTGATGATTTGAAAAGATAGAACTAATTGAATGTAATAACACATGTCGGTAACTTACATTAACTTACACAGAAGAATGTGGATACCATACACATCTTTAATCTGAAGTGTCAGGGCTATATAGATTTTCAGTACATCCATGAATGTGGGCAGGATCATATGTTATGCAGTAATATTTTGATATGGAAAGAATTCTTAGAGATTTAGTTTTGCTCATAATAAATGGTGAGTAGTTGATTTAATTTAATTCTCATTTCTGTTTCTTGTTTTGTTGTTACTGGAATGTTTGGAAAAATGCTTTGTAGGAAGTATCTGAGATGCCTCCTACGTATGATCGCCTCATCTTAATGGTATACACAACTTTCATATATTCTGGGATCTATAATTTGGTCATTTTATTTGCTTATGGTTGTTCATGGTTTGAGGCATCATGGCAGATATTAATTTGTCTCACACGAGCAATTTAATACAGGTCATTGATGGTCTTCCAGCAGAATTTGTGCTTGGCAAGAAAGGTCAGCCACCAAGCAAAGCTTATATGGAAGCTATGCCATACACTCAGTCATTGCTGGCAAATGGCACGGGTGTTGGATATCATGCAGTAGCTGCAGCGCCAACAGTTACCATGCCTCGTTTGAAAGTTAGTGTCAGTTCCAGTTTTAAATGTGGAAGTGTGTAGAAAGCACATGTTCTGAGTTTCCTTTTTCTTTTTCCAACTTCATATTTTATCTCGTGTTTGTTGTTCCAGGCCATGGTTTCTGGAGCAATTGGGGGTTTCTTGGATGTGGCTTCCAACTTTAACTCTCAGGCTTATTTAGATGACAATCTTCTTGGTTCGTTGAGCGTGTTGAAAAAAATTGAACTTAGCATTTGAATTTTCTTGGACCGTATTGATGCCCTCAATACTTGTTGCAGCACAATTCTTTAAGATTGGATGGAAAATGGTTATGCATGGTGATGATACATGGCTGAAGTTATTTCCTGGTTTCTTTGCACGGCATGACGGAGTTAGCAGTTTTTTTGTAAGTCTTCAATTTATGTCAGCATATAGACATGGTCCTGTGCTTCCATATAGGCTAGAGCACTCATTTAGTTATCAGTAATACCAAATTCACAATTTGTTGGGCATATATTTTATTTAATAAAGAGTTGTATCGGACCTCTCAAATCCCTTTGTTGTATACTCCTTCTGTCCCATAATACCGGTCACATTTGCAAAAATAAATTATCCCAAGCTTCAGTGACTAATTTTTCATTTGTACCTTTTAACTAATGTTATGTGCATCACTCCCAAGTTTTTATTCCTCACTTTGCTTTTATGATAATGAAAATGCACTAATAGTTAGTATGAGTAATTGGGCAATTTCATCATTCTCTTTTTTTCATTTATTATATTATCGTACTCTGTGTGAAATGGTCCAATGCGACAAATATTGTGGGACGGAGAGAGTATATTTTCGTTGCTCTATTTTTAACATTGTTTTTCTGAAACTACTTGTCACTATAGGTTAAAGATACTGTACAAGTAGATCGCAATGTGTCTAGACATCTTGGGGATGAACTTAGCAGGGATGACTGGAATTTTCTCGTAAGTAGCACAGCCACTTCATAATTTTGTTTCTACCTAATGTTACTTGAATTCCTACTTTGTAATGATTTTTGACTATTCAGATTTTTATACTGTTATCTTTCTGGTTTAAAATGTGCTCTTATGCTTTGTTTTATTTATTTATTTATTTATTTATTTATTTTGTCTATAGAACCTGTTGGTTTTACTTTTTTTTCCTCTCTTTTATCCATGTTATATTTTCCGGCAAAAAAAAGTGGAAGTTGTTTTAGTATGGATGTCACATCACCAATGAAGATTATCGCCAGTTATTATTTGGAGCATTTTTTAGTTTTGGATAGTAAGAATAACTTTTTAGGTGTATACATTTTAAAAGTTATTTATATTCCTTGCTTTTTTCTTTAAGAAATTATTTCCCTGCATATAGATTTCTTGAATCAATATGAATTAGTTGAAATATGTTGGTAGTTTTTGACGGTTAAGTTGGACAGTCAGAGTGTTATGCTCCTGTTTGGAAGTTATGCAATTTAACTGCATGAAAACACTTTTCCTTCATTTTCTTGAAATCTAATTATATATCAATTGATCTTTTCTACGGACGCACATTAGGATGATGGTTTGGTTCTATCATACCAAACCGACAGAATTGGTTTTTATCTGCTATAATAGTTCGTTTGGTTCTACTTATATCATTACACCAAATAGGAAAAAAATAACTTTATTTGGTTTTACCTTTTAATATTTACTCCAAACTTTAATCAATTTCCTTATTGCTAGATAATACACTTTTTTTGTATCTCATATCAACGGAGTTCTTTCAACCTGTGACTTTTGCGAAGATATTAATCTACCTTCTCACTCAATTTTTGGTTTTCACTTTCCAGTGAAATTATGATTTAAGATTAAAATCCATCTGTTACATAGTTTAACCATGCATGTCAACTGTGGAGTTTTTCGGTCTACTTCAGAATAGCATGATGCTTTTCAATAAAGATTTCATTTGTACTCTATACACATTTACTGAGTTTATTTTAGATACTTCATTATCTAGGATTGGATCATGTTGGTCATATTGGTGGACGCAGCAGGTATCATCACTAACTCTGCACTGTACACGTTAGTTCCATTCTGTTCTCTAAGCTTCACTGGGACCTTTCCTGTTTCAGTGCATTAATGGCTTCAAAACTTTCTGAAATGGATGAAGTAGTGAAGATGATTCATAGTAATATAGCATATGATCAAGGGAAAACACTTCTGGTTTGTGACTATCTTTTTGTTGCTCTTTTGAATTGTTACTACAGAATTCACGTGACTTGTTTATTGTGGTGTGTAGAGTGTAGACATTAATAAGGACTGAAGAGTTCCCCCATTGAAGTTTATCTATTTATCTTGCAATGTATAGGACTTGTAGAAATTTCATTTAGGATGTATTTGCATGCGTGAACCTGCACACATGCTTGTATAAGAAAACAAAAACACATATGTCGGGAGTTCTACTTTAATGCTTGCTTTTAATTTTTAAGTTGGTGATTAATAAGAATTTTCATTTGTGATTATATATGTCTTTGATGTTATGTACTTTGAAGTGTAATTTAGGTCATCAAATTATCTTTAGGGGTATTTTCAATTAGTTACTGTAAAGACAGTCCATTCAAAAGTTCGAAGTTTTAAATACTATCTGCTGTAAATTGCTATACAGGTTGTAGTCAGTGACCATGGAATGACAGAAAGTGGTAATCATGGAGGTTCGTCGTACGAGGAAACAGACTCTCTAGCTCTATTCATTGGACCAAAAAATCATGCTTCTGACCACACATTATCCTATCACGACACAATTTTTCAGGTAATGAATCTATACTTCTTGCTTGTAGGTTGTATCTCAAAGACTAACCAATTTTGATGATTTTTATATCTTCTCTTGAACCTGAATGTGTTGCCAAATCAGTTAGCAAACCATAAGAGAATCTTCTAGCATCAAGTGTATTAGCCAATTTATGTTTCTATGCTTCCTAAGGCGGAGAACTTTTTTGGTTTTAAATGATTTTGTAACCTAATATGAACAAAGCATCTAACTTCATTAATTTGGAATGATCAAGTACAATTGATACTTATAGTTGAAGAAGAGTGCATACTCTACATTGAGGAGTGAGTACATAGGATTAAAGTCTCAAACTAACTCCTAACTAACAATTACTATTTATGGAAAGCTTACATCACAAGATACTTACTAATTTTGTATAAAGGGAAAGTTTGCATAATAATTTAGTTATTGAAATAACTAACTTGTATCTCCTATCTCATTGTGTGTTATAACCGTCCCTGTTTTCATGTTTGCCAATCTCAAACTTAACATGAACAACCCACTTAACCAAGTATCTTGGGCAGTAGGTGGTTAACTATTCATGCAACTTACATTGTATTGTACAACAGGTTGACATTGCGCCAACATTAGCTTTACTTTTTGGTGTGCCAATTCCCAAAAACAATATTGGTGTTTTGATCTCTCAAACGGTTGACTCTATGACAGGTTAGTTCTCTTTCTCTCTGTTTATTTATCAAATAAACTAATCTGAAGGTGATATTGCATTCCCCCCGTCGTTATCCAATGTTCTATGAAGCACATACATGAACGTCGTGTCCAGACACAACACATACTCAATATGTCGACACTGCTTATGTCGAAAATATGACACCGAGACACACACACACACACACATAATTACAAAATTAAATATTCTCATCATTTATAGAAGATATTTGAGAGTCAAGATGGCCACCAAATGACCATGATGACCCTGACAGATCAAATAAGAGGCCTGAAAAGGGAAACCCAAAAGGAGAAGTTGGGAAAGCAAAATGAAGATTGGAGATTGTGGAAACCAGTGTATACAGAAAGACGTGGGAACATTTCAAATGTCTAATTAAAAAAACTATTATATTACTTTTGGAAGCTTTTTGTTTCTAATCTTTTTAGAACAAACATAGATGCGTTCATTCTGACTATAGCTGTATTTGAGGAGTGTCGAAAGGAAGAACAAAAAATATTATACGGGCCATTTGTCTGAAGTGTTTGAGCATGTCAGACATGCTGACACACCTAAACCCACAAGTGTTGGTGCTTCATAGATAATGTTTCTTTAAGCAATGTTATATGTTGTAGCAGCATAATTATGTAATTGTATATTTTTTTCGTTCCTTGGTGAATTAGATGAACAAAGTTTGAGGGCACTGCAGTTGAACTCATGGCAGTTATTCAGATTACTTCAAGCACAATTGCCTGACTTGTCTTGTAGAAAATTTCCATGTGATGCTTTTATTACTAATAGTGGACCCACAATTAGTGAATGCAAAGGTAGCAAGGAGGAGTTGTTTTGTTGCTTGTATTCAAATGCTGCCACTCTTCATGATACCTGGAGGGCTGAAGCAGTCATCAAGTATGCAACAATTCTGTTGTTTCATGTTTTTAATGAATTCTACAAGAAACGTTTGCAAACATTTTTTTATTTGCCATTTATGTTTTAGGTCTAATACTACTGAAGGCTACAACACCATTGTTGCAGCATATCATGAGTTTCTGAGCAGAGCAAGCGAGTGGCTATCACACAAAGCAACTGATGTATGCATAGTCTTCTGTGTTTAGAGTTTCTATTGAACTTTATCTCTCTTTCCGTTCTCTTGATTCATGACAATTGTATTTGTTCAGAGACCAGTTAGTTTACTTGCTTTTGGAGTTGCTGCTTTGATCACATCATGCTTGATACTTCTGAAACTTCTATTTGTTATCAATAAAGAAGTTCTTACTCTGGAGATTCAAGATGTTGAGAATTATACGAAGCCATGGAAGTTGGATGAAGGGTTCATTTTCTTTGGCATCCTGATCCTTGTCATTAGCATGGGATCAAGTTCTATGATTGAGGAAGAGCATTACATTTGGCATTTTCTAACATCCACAATAAACTTATTATTTTTTCGGAAAGCATTACAATCGTTTGAACTTAACAAAGCAGTTGATGATCTCATTTCACTAGGGATAAAAAACTACACATCAGGATGCCAAATTAGTTTGTTATTCCTTACTCTTTTTTCTGGAAGAATTTTGAAAGGCTGGCATCAAGGTGGTGTGAACTGGACTAACCTTCCTGACATTTCTACCTGGCTTGAGCAGGCTGGAAGTCAATATATAAACCTGATTAAGATAGCATCATGTTTCATGATCATCATGTTGGGCATATTTGTATTATTTCTATTGCAGTCCAAAACAAAAGTTGTAACGGTCATTGGGTTCAGCCTTTTAATGTCTAGTTTGTTGGTATTGCAACATTTTATGAAACATCAGGACATGGCTGCCTCATACAATAAAGATGCCACCTTTTCGGTTCAAGTTTTCTATGCCATTCTGGGAATTACTACTGTTACAGTTGTATTGGTTTTGCCGTGGATTATGCCTATGAAAACTCGTGAAATGTGCTCAAAATGGAACCTCTACATGTCTGCGGCTGTTCCTGCGGAAGTCCATAATATGACACCAATATTTGTTTTAAAAGATTCTTTGCATGTTATGGGGTGTGTGTACATAACATCATGGTGTCTTCTGCAATTGTTGCTTCAGCGACCAATTAATGCAATGCCTTTGTTGTTGCTCAATGTTCAAATCTTGGCTTACATGCTTGCCTTTTCTTCTTGTGGGTCACATCATAAGCAGTGGGTTGAGGTACGTTTACAAGATTCATGAATAGACTTTTACTTTATATTTTGTAGCAGATTAGTTTTGGGCTTTCAAGTGCAGTGCTAACTCTGGAAGTGATTTCACCGAATTATAACTAGACAAGGGTTTTTTTAGTTCTCTTTACCGTGTTCTGATTTATGTGTGTATTTTATAAACTATAATGGTTTATGGTTATCAGTTAGAATTGCGTTTTTCAAGCATTATTTCTTTTCACATTGGAATTTTCATGAAATTTCAACCATATATTGAGTATTTCATTAAAAAAATGATTTATAGATTACAAACTATTCTGACTAATCCGTGGTAGTTATGTGCTTTGTGCATTTGAATAGGAAATTTGTATAAAATTGAGGAATATGAAGATTTTATTTACTGAATTGCTTGAGCTAAGGTTCCAATAGAGTCTTGGGAATAGTTTCTTGTTTAATAATGTGTTAATAATATTCAGACATCCCAGCATTCCGTTTATACACAACTAAAATTCCTGTTGTATGGCTAATATTATGATGCGTGTGAATAAGAGCAAAAGATATTTATTTTATAGTCGGGTGCAAATTGTCCCCATAGCAAGTGACTTAACAATTTAATCTAGTAGTTGAAAATGTCTCTAGATTTCAAATCTCATTTTATTTTAGCATTTTTCTGTTGGTTGTTGTATGAAAGTGTATTTCGTAGAGCAAGACTAACCATCCATTTAATAGATGGTTATAAAGTTATGCATATTTGATTTGTCATTCAGGTCATAAAATTGGACTACCAAGTAGTCTCTCACGTCCAAAAAATATAGGAAAAATTATATATGCATGTGGATATACACAGGATCCAACTGCCTATCTGTAGATACTCTTTTAACTCCAAGCTCCATTTACTCAAATAGTAGCGACTTGTAGCTTAATTAGCAAGAACATCTTGCTTTAGTCACATATCTTGATGTCAGTTCTTAATAACTCTCGCATTCATACATGTTTCGGTCAATTGTCCCCCACTGACCTAACTACCTATCTGTGGCTAGAATACTAGGAGCGGGGGTTGGTTAACAAAGCACTAGGCTTTCACACTATGGAACACAGGTTTGGGTGAAAATTGTAGCTGAGTTTCTCTATAGCAGTATTGAACTATTGATGCTATGATACTTTACTATACATTGTACAAAATTAAATTACTGTAAACTTGTAACATTGTGGATTTTTGAGCTGACAACTAGCAAATCACACTATGACTGTTGATTACATGTACTTGTTTCTATGCAACATGTAATTTCTTTTGATACATAATTAATATTTAAATGAGCTCAAAATGCATTTTATGTACTGATACTGCATTTCTTAGATTACTGCATTGTACAATCTGGGAATGGCAGGCCATTTTGCTCTTGGGAACAGTAATACGCTAGCTACCATTGATGTGGCTGGAGCTTTTATTGTAATGTCTCCTACTTTTCTTTTGCAATTATTTCCAAAAGAGCGCACTGTTTTCATTGCATTTCAGATTTAAATTCCCCATAAATATCTATTTTTCTCAGCAAGATATTACCTTTTGTTGGCAGGGAATTTCAAGTCACTCAACCTTCCTTTCAGGTGTTCTAATGTTCATCATTACATATGCGTCCCCAATGTTATTCTTTTTTTCTTTGGTTCTGTACATCTCTATCAAGGTCAGAATCTGTCCATTAGTTACCGGCGGTGGAAATTCTGGAGAAATTCTCAAGTCTCTTCTTGGATTTCCTTGCCTAGTACCACTGAGCATAAACTCCATTCTCTTGTCAGCAAACACAATCGTCTTAGTGTTGATGAGGAACCATTTATTTATTTGGAGCGTTTTTTCCCCCAAGTGAGTGTTCCTTTCTCTGATTTATAGAAGTAATAAGGATTAATCCTGATTTTCTGTCATTTTTATTTATGGATATCAGTTAACCTTGTAAAACGTACACCACCAATTTGTTCTGCAGGTACCTTTATGTCTGTGCAGCAACTGCATGTGTCTATATTGGGGTCTTCATTGTCGTTGCAACCGTGATTTATACATATATGGTACTTTTCTGGTTGAGAAAGAGCTTGTCCATAACAAGCAAGGAAACTGTTACGTGATCATCTGTGTTAACAAAGATTTATTATTACACGGTCAAAAAGCAACTTGGACTCATTAAAGTGCTTGGTGAGTAAGTGAATGTTGTTTTTGTTTCTGTTGATTTCCCGGGGCATGATAAGTGAAAAATATGGAGATGCTTTCGGAGAAAATTGAGCAGAAAGAAACCTAATCTACGGAGAACCATACTGTTGATGCCAATTTGCGAACTGAACCTTTAGACTAAGTACATTTTAGGGTATCTCTGTTTTTGTTTTGTTTTCATACTGCAGAAAAACTTGTTTGAAGGCAATTTTGTGTAAACTGCTAAAGAAAACAGTAACTGTTTTTTAGGTTTAAACATAAGGAAATTCTTATATAGAGATGGAGCCATAGCATATGGTTTTAGAAACAACCAATTACAGTTTTTTTATTAATTAAAAAACAAAAATAATATTTTCTATATTTCATTATTACAACCACTCCAAGATTTCAATTAAAAAAGAAATTAAATTTTAAATAAATTTCAAATCTTCTTTCTTTAATTTGTTAGACAATCTTTAGATGCGTTTCCAGTAAAAAAATATGTTTTTGATTCTTATCGATTATCAAATTTTGTTTATGATTTTTATAAAAAAATGGACTGTTTTAGTTTCTATAAAATTATTATGCATGTAATTTTAATCTCTATAAAATTATTATGCACGTAGTTTTAGTCTTTGTTGTTAAACTGAAGTTAAAAAACTCTATAATTTGATAAAAAAATATTTTATAGTATTCTAAACACTTATGAAAAAATTATTTAAAAATTTAAAAATAATTAAATTGTTATCAAAATTTTAAAAAATAACATGGATTAAAACTGCATAAATAAAATTTGGTAGAGACCATACTATTTTTTTAATGGGGACTAAATAAAATTTGGGATATTTATAGGAAAAAAAGTTTCAATTCTTATTAAAACTCGTGTATTCGCAAGGATTATGGTGTGGACTATGAAATTATCACCAGTTTGATTTTGAAATTTAAATAAAATAAACAATAATTAAAGTTAATTTTAAAAAAAGAAAAATAAAAAAATAATCAAAGATATAAGTTAATTAAATCAATAATTTTATAAGAAAAACTTTTAAACACCAACTTAGAAAATAAATAATTATTCAAAATAGAAAAAAATAAAATATATTTATCAATACTGATTATTTGTGCATTCACACAATACTGGTGTTTACCCGTACGTCTGCACGAGTATCGTGTAAACCACGAAATTATCACCTGTAGATTCACAAAAAATTTAAATTTCATTCGTTCACACTTATTTTGATCTGATTACCCGTACGTTCACACGATATTGATATGATATTATTAATAAAGATTCTATTGTTTGAATAAATTAATTATAAAATTTAATTCCATAAGATACACTCTAAATATTGAATGCAATGAAAATAAAAAAGATTAAATAAAATGAAATGGATTCATTTCTTTATAATTCATTTTATTCAATTTATTATTTACAAATTTAAACATCAAAATCTTAATTATATATCACATTCTATTAAGAAGTTCATTACCTGTTGTAGAAATAATATTATAGTCGGTATTATAAATAAAAAAGTTATTTTCTTAAAACAAATTTAATTAATATGTTAATAATATAATAATGATTTGATAATTAAAAAAAAAATTAATTATATAAAATAGAAGTAGAAGTAAAATAGAAAATAGAAGTAGAAACTTTTTCAGAAACCACTCGATAATATTTATACATGATTTTGATTAAATAGTAAAATAGAAGTAGAAAAATAAACAAAACCAAGTAACTTAGTTTTTTATTTTAATTGTTTTTACAATAAAGTTTCTGTACACTTAAATGTAAATAATAGTACATATGCATATACTACAAAGTCACTAAAAACAAAAAAAGGAGAGAATTTCTAGTTTGTATCATATGCATCATGCTTGTTATCGGTTCTCACCATCAAGCCATCACCTTACTGATACATATGTAGATCACCTGCATACAAAGAAAAGAAACAAAGTTCAGTTACATTAGTTGCATTATGGTCGTGTGTTTTTCCCATAAGTTGAAAAATTAAACTGACATTAAAGATAAAACCAATTCATGAGTATTAACAAAGTGTTGTTCACTTTACTATTGATTTAACTTTAGATATCCATACTGATTGAGAAAATATAGAAGTTGTATTTGATAGACCACCTAACTGGTTATTACACTGAAACAAACAAAAGTTTGAAGACAAATACAATAGTATTATAACAGAACTTTCTCAATACAACTAATGTTATTGCAAATAATAAGCATCATAAGCAGTGTATTTCTGATGCAAGTATAGGCATGAAGAAATGTAGTAAGGTTCTCAAAATAACAGTATTGTTAAATTGTAATCCAATGTGTCGAAACTATGTGTCGAAAAGATTTGATTTGTTTTAGATTTAAATAGATTTGATTTAATTCTAGAATAAATTAGATTTGATTTAGTAACAAAAAGATATTTTGGGCTTTGAGCTTAGGGTGTAAGCTCAGTTATAAATAGAGGGAGTAACCCTCATTTCTAAAAGCAAGTCAATTCATTGTAATCACAGAATTTGCAGTTGCAAGTGATTAAGAAAGTTTTCCACAGTTTGTGGACAGAGAGAAACTCTGCAGAAATATTTGTCTTGTCTTCTTTTCTTTGTTTCTCTCATAATTATATTGTCATTGTGGTAGAAATTCATCATAGAGTTTTGGTGGATTTCCAACATCTGGTATCAGAGTTTTTGTTTCGATTCAAGAGAAGTGTCAATCAAGAACGATTGAAGAATTCAAGATGACAAGTTATGGGAATGCAAACTATCCAGCAACGCTATCAATTCTGAAAGTTGACAACTATGAGAATTGGTGCAAACAGATGAAGTCTTATTCAAGTGTCAAGGTCTTTGGGATCTTGTAAAAGATGGAGTCGAAGCGCTTGGAGAAAACGCTTCAGAAGAAGAAAAGAAGAAATACACAGAATCTGAGAAGCTGAGTTATAAAGCATTATTTATAATTCATCAATGTGTCAGCCCAGACAATTTCGAAAAGGTTAGTGATTCAAAATCTGCAAAAGAAGCTTGGGAAATCCTTGAGAAGTCTTTTGGAGGCGCTGAGAAAGTGAAAGAAGTGAGGTTACAAACTCACAAAAGGACCTATGAACTGCTTCAGATGGAAGACAGTGAAAGCATATATGATTTCTTCACTAGAGTTACAAAACTAGTAAATCAAATCAAGATATGTGGAGAAGCGTTAACCACAAGAGTTGTTGTGTCGAAGATCTTGAGATCTTTAGCTCCTAAGTTCGACCACATAGTGGTGGCGATAGAAGAGGGGAAAGACTTGTCAAAATTGACAAAGGAATAACTTCAAGGGACGCTTGAACCTCATGAACAAAGAATGAATGAAAGAGCTGCAGGCAAATCGAAGAGTGGTGTGGCCCTGCAGGCACATTCAGCAAAAGAGACCAAAGGCAAAGGAAAGTGTTTCGACAGAGGTAGAGGTGGCTACAACAAATCGAATGGTAGAGGAAACCAAATCGAAAGAGACGTGTCGAATCAAAGAAGAGCATACCAAGGCAACCAAAGAGGTGGTGTTGCAAATAGAGTAAGAGGTGGTGGTCGAAAACCTGATAAGAGTCACATTCAATGTTACAATTGTCAGAAGTATGGACATTATGCGAGTGATTGTCCAGAAAAACGAAAGAATCAAGAAAGTGATGTAAAGCTTGCAAAACATGAAGAAGAAGAAGAGATGATGCTGATGGTCACAACAAGAGATGAAGATAGATTCAAGGACCAATGGTACTTGGATTCAGGATGTTCATCATATATGTCTGGAAGGAAAGACTGGTTTGTCAATATAAATCCCTCAATGAAAAATATGGTAAAATTTGCAAATGACAATACCCTAGCAGTTGAAGGTATTGGTGATGTTATGATTATGAGGAAAGATGGCAAAAGGTCAGTAATCTCCAATGTATTGTACATACCAGGCATGAAGAGCAATTTTCTCAGTATAGGGCAGTTGGTCGAAAAGAATTATAAAGTGTCAATCGAAGATAAGTTGATAAGAGTCGTTGATGCAAATGGGAGATTAATCTTGAAGGCTCATATGTCTCAGAATCGAACCTTCAAGATTGAACTAAATGTGATGGAGCACAAGTGCCTTTGACTGCAGCTAGCAGAGATGAATGGATATGACATTATAGACTAGGCCATCTCAACTTCAGAGACATCAGAGATTTGAAGAGAAGAAATATGATTTAAGGATTGCCAGAAATTGACATTCCAAACGAGGTATGTGAGGAATGTGTGCAGGCGAAGCAACACAAGAATAGCTTCAGCAAGGATGCAGGAAGCAGATCGAAGGCTATTCTTGAAGTCATATATTCTGATGTATGTGGACCAATCCAGGTGGATTCGATGGGAGGTAACAAATACTTTGTTACATTCATAGATGATTTCAGTCGAAAGCTATGGACTTACCTGGTCAAGAAGAAAAGTGAAGTGATCGAAGTATTTACCAAGTTTAAGTCTATGGTCGAAAGACAAAGTGGTCGAAAGCTCAAAGTTTTGAGAACTGATGGTGGTGGAGAATATGTGTCGAAAGACTTCGACAAATTATGTGAAAAGGAAGGGATTGTGCATGGGGTGGTGCCACCCTATACTCCACAACAAAATGGAATTGCAGAAAGGAAAAATCCAACCATCATGAATATGGTGAGAAGTATGTTGAAAGGCAAGAATTTACCTAAAGAGTTTTGGGGTGAAGCTGTTTCGACTGTAACATACATTTTGAACAGATGTCCTACAAAGAAGCTAGAAGGAATTACTCCAGAAGAATGTTGGTCTAGTATGAAGCCTAGCTTGAGTCATCTGAATGTATTTGGATCTATAGCACATAGACATGTGCCAGATCAGTTGAGAAGAAAACTTGATGACAAGTCAAGTCAAATGATTCTAGTTGGATATCATTCGACAGGAGGCT